GTGTGTGTGTGTGTGTGAGTGTGTGTGTGTGTGTGTGTGTGTGTGTGTGTGTGTTTATGTGTGTGCGTTTGTGAAAGAGAGAGAGAGATAAAGTGAGCATGTTTGTGGGGGGGAAAGAGAGTGAGATTATGTACACTCTTAAAAAACATGGTTCTTTAAGCGTTCTTTAGTAAAAAGAATGGTTATATATGGAACCGTGAACACTCAAGGATCCATCTGCACGCTTACATGGTTCGCATGGTGAAATGGTTCTTCAGATTGATGGAGAATGTGTTGTATATGGTTCTATATAGAAAAGCGCTCTGTACAGTACAAAAAGCGTTCTGCTTGACATTGTAACAGAGACCACCCCTCATTTATTTAATTTCCAGTTATTCATTTTTCAGGAGATACTGCTGAAGAGATTAGATGTAATCCATTTGCATAAATAAGGAGAAAGCCAAAGGAAAGTAAGTGAAAAACAGCCCGTTTCCAAAACTGGCTTGCAAAAGGTGATTAAAAGATACAGAGAAATGTGACTCCTAACAACCATGCAAGACTTGGCAGACCATTAAAACTGTCACTATCAGATAAACAGCACTTCAAGCTTTTTAGCTTTAAGAGAGAGGAGAAAATCAAGCTCCACTCTTGCATCAGATCTGAAAAAATCCACAGGTGATTCTGTGAGTCTGAAAGGATGTGTAGCTGTCAAGACGCCACCACTGAGCAAACAAAATAGACAATAAAAGATCTACAAAGAGGCTGCTAGTGTACTCGGAACGATGGGCTTGAAACCCCAGAATCCTTACCCCTACCACTTAGCCCTTAGCCTTCCGTTTTGCATGTTCATGCCTAGGGGTAGGGTGTCCCGATATTTGTTGAGATGAAGGGGTAGGGTGAAGTGTTAGGGCAACACGGCCCTCCATATGAAGGTTTTTCAGAGGCACACTCCAAATGGAGTGTTATCAGAAAAAAAGAAAAAAAGGAAAGATGGCTGCACATGCGACCAAAGAAACCCTCAAATGTGAGTATTTTCTCCGTTAAAAATGACAATAACCAGTGTAGCGTCTTAGTTTAATGTCGATTCAATTTGTTGTGGTCGTTTTCTTCATAACAAGCATAAAAAATCGCTAATAGTATGCTAACGTCTTAGTAGCTAGTTAAATCGTCAAGGATTACTGATGCCTAAAGCGCCAGAATGTAAATGCTGCTCCATTTAAGGTGGATTGGGAAAATTCAAACAAGAAGCTGGCGAATAGCTGACTTCAGCTTCATATCACCGAATAATTAGGGGTGGGTGATAATAAATGTCACACCCCATTCCTTTAAAGCCCTAAATTTAACTAGCCCAGCAGCGAGGTTACCAAACTTTACCCTCCTCTGTTATCACTGCAGACTGGCAGTGTTGCCTATAGAGCAGCGCTAGTAGCCTGTTAATGAAGTAATGTTCTTCTTTATTTGAGGGTCCCATTTCACAGGGGAGGATTTCAACCACTACCCCTTGCAACTCAGTTCTAGGGGACAAGGTGACACTCGAAAACAAGGGGTAGGGGTAGAAATAAGAAATGGGATTGGGCCCCAGTCTCCTGCAAAGAAAGGAATCTGTAATAAAGACAGGAAATCTAATAAATGAAGGGTGGTCTCTGACTTTTGCACAGTATGTACTGTGAACTCGGCTGGGGGAGGGGCCCAGTCACGCTGGCTGGGAAGTATGAGAGTATGTGTATGTGCGTGATAGAGACAGAGGGAGAGCGATAGACTGAGACTATGTTAATGTTCTCTCACACACGCTTTTGCAGTATCTCTTTTCTAAATCTGTAGCAAATGTGACATGACTGCAGATGCTACTGAGACTCAGCAGCCAGTGTGAAAGTGAGGCAGGGCTACCCACCACTTACACAACCTGTGTCACAGTACTGCTGCCTGTATTAGCATAAATGCTAATAGGGGCACTTATTTTGGGCTTGGTAATGGTAGCTATTGTGTCCAGATGGTCCATTCTGCACAAATAATACAAGAGGGCAACAGCCTTGAGGAGCTGGAACAGCCATTAATGTAACTCATCACATCAACCAAAGGCTGCCAGGCTAACTAGAAATAAACTGAAATGTTTTAATCTTGACCTTACAAGCTAACAGTGGTAACAAAGTAACAGCATCACAGCATTAACAGGCTTTTCAGACTTCTTCTTTGGAAAAGCATAATCCTTCACACTAACATAATGAAATCATACAACTCCTACCATCTGAACATATTACTGCGCTGTAGAATTTCACAAACTGATAAACGAACAGCATCTCTGTGTTTGCGTGGTTGGTTTTATCTACAGTAGAGGGGTGAAACTGGCAAATGTCATATGGAAATCAAGTCTTGCAGTGAATCAACACTGATCATGTGACACCTGCATATACACGAATTGAAATTCAAACATATTACATTACACAAGCCTCCACATCAAAGAGGCTTCAGAGGCACAGGTCAAAAAAGCAGAGCCCTCAAAACGAAGACTGTCTTATAAAGCCACGCACATCTTTGTTGAAACTGCCAACATGGATTACTTAGCTAATGCCTCTTTTTTTACTTGGCTTCAAGTATTTAAAAATATGCTAAAACTTCATCCCTCAGGACAATACATAATATGCATAATATGCAGGAATATTGCATTAGAGCCCACACCCTTCTTAATCTAGAGGGCTGGAATATGTGATTGCTGCATCTCCCTCAGTGTTTGAAAAGGACGCGGAGGAGTTTCTTCTTGATGCAGATCAATAATCACCCTTGCCATCCGTTATCAAAGATGGCTTGTGGAGATATGAGGAGGGAAATATCATATGTGGGGATATGCTGGGGAAAGGTGGTGGCTCCAGGCCTTTCATGATGGATGACAGAGAAATTGACCCTAAGATCTGCTACTGCTTTAATCTTTTTTGCCTCCCTTGAAAGTACAGAAAAAAACATAGACAGCATGTGGGTGTTTCAGCTCAACATCAACAACTCTTCTAAGGTAGATATACTGTACATAAAGGCTTAATACTAAATATAGAGAAATGGCTGAAACAAGATAAAGAATGTGGGCTAAAAACAGGAATGCATCCTGCTACAAGCATTTACATCTGTTGCTTTTGAAATTGCTACAAAGATGCTACATCAGTGGTGACCAGCCCTCCTCACAGAGATACAACCTTTAGGCAGAGTTTACTTTGAAACCTAATCTGCTTCACTTGATCTAACCAACCAGTCTCTTCAGAAGACCTTGATGATCTAGATCAGGGGTGTTAGATCAGAGCTGGGTCTGAACTCTGCAGGAAGGCAGATGTCCAGATGAAGGGTTGTTGACTGTTGTGCTGCATTGCCCAACTATCAATAACACTTATTCAGTATCAGAGGGATAAAAATGCATCAGTGCATTATGATCCATTGATCTGAATGTGGTGACTAAACTGCATTGATTTTGGAACGCTGGAATAATATCTACAAAAGTATACACTGATACTTAGGTCAAAATTAAATTCACAGGCTTTTACAAACATGGAAAAAGGATTAAAAGCTTGGTGCATTGTTTTACCGTCTGTTTTTTGTTAGCTGGTGACTACAGAAAGGCAGATAGTTAGCTAGATAACTATTGCTAGGAAGTCATACATACATACATCATTTAAACCGCTTATCCTTCTGGGTCGCGGTGGGGTGCTGGAGCCTATCCCAGCTGTCATTGGGCGGAAGGCAGGATACACCCTGGACAGGTCGCCAGTCCATCGCAGGGCAGACAGACATACATACATATACAATCACACACACATTCACACCTAGGGGCAATTTCAGCATTTCCAATTGGCCTGACTGCATGTTTTTGGACCGTGGGAGGAAACCCACGCAGACACGGGGAGAACATGCAAACTCCACACAGAGAGGACCCCGGTCGCCCGGCCGGGAATCGAACCCAGGCCCTTCTTGCTGTGAGGCGACAGCGCTACCCACTGCACCACCGTGCCGCTGCTAGGAAGTCGAATATCTGAATATCTGAATATTATTACAATGGATTACTCAAATGACATAAGTGACTCACCACGTGAGGAGGACAACATGCAGAAAGCTGACTTTAGCAAGGTACGTGGCTATCTAGATATGTTACCTCCATTGGCTTCTTTTCTCTGGCTAAAGCGTTAAACAAATGTCACTAGTGTCCATTTTGTGCTGAATAAAATGTTTTCTTTATGATTTTGTTTGGCGGCCAAGGTAAGAGTGACATGATGGTAAATTAGTTGCATTTATTAGCATATAGTTAATACATAGGTTTACACATCCATAAATATTCCATATTGCACTGCCACTCGCATATGCATACACCCATGCATATACAACTATTAACATATGTTACTGTTTATAGTGTATAGTCACTCAGTTCATTCACTGGACGTGACATGCACCACTGCACTAACCCCTGCATATTGTTTATGTGATTTTTACTTACTTATTTTTGTACTGCACATTATATTTTATGGTTGTTTTAGTATATTTATTATATATCTTTACTTCTTCTGTTTATGCATCTGTATAATAGCATACAACAATACTTTTGCTCTTGTTTTGCTCTTTACTGGACTGGTGTAATAGATGACTTTCCCTCTGGGATTACTAAGTGGCCTATCTGTCTGTCTGTCTGTCTATCTATCTATCTATCATAGTGAGAAAATAATGATGAATGAAAACATAAAAACGACATAAAATTGTGAATTCCATCAAACCGTTGAGGTTGAGGGACACAACGCTGCACTACAGGATACTGCAAACAATATAACATAATAACTCTTAAACTCTAGCCTTGTTGAGTTTGAGAATTGTACCAAAATAATCAAACTAGACCATTACAGTCAGAGATCTATACCCCTCTTCAGTACTGAAGTTTTGCTCCATGTCTCTGCTGGGTGGCCGACTGCCATCTGCTTCATGCAGGCCATCCAGGAGAGACATGGAATAAAACCCAGGTGCCAAGTAATCGAATGAGTGGGTGGAAGCAGCCGTACCTTAGCAGTGGAAGTGGTGCAGGTAGGAGCTAGGCGCTTGCAGGCTAGCTCTGTGCTGGAGGTGGTGGTTGCCCCGGTGACGGGGGTGGGCAGCAGTGAGGGGATGACAGGCAGGGGCAGCAAGCCAGGCCGGTTGTTGCCGCTGCTGGGGACGGAGGTGGCAGAGACAGCGGTGGAGCCGCAGCCGTTTGCCACCACACAGCTGCTGCTGATGCCACAGCGCTCTCTCCGATCCCACACCGGCCGGAAATCCCGCTCGAAACGGTGGTTATGCCGCGACATCACACACCCACTGTGTCAAAAAGAGCCTCTTCTGCTCAGGGGGAGCTGGGGAGGGCCTGGAGAAAAACAACAACCACACAGAGACAGAGGCTGCCGTATCAGAACACGAGATTGGGAAAAAGGTGATAATCACATTACTACTGTGTGGAGTTATATCAAAAAGGTTATTTTGGTAATTTTATATACAGGAATTACAACTTGTACAATGTAAATTTAAATATTATAAACTAGAAATTAGAAGTAGAGAACTAGACAGGCATGAAATTAAAACCTGAACCCAACATGTAGCTGCAAATTTGAGACCTAACTCGACTAGGCCCAACTAACACTGCTAATATTTAAACCTCGGCTCGAACCTGCTCACACTGCTGCAGAACAACTGCATCCACAGTCAGCATGTCAATGAAGAGACAATGTGCCAGAACTCTTGCTATTATAGTCTAGAAGCCAGTCTGCTTTTTATCACAAATGACTGTATTTAAATATACAACCTCAATGCAGATGTCCTGACACATTTGGAATTTTAAACAGTTCCCCTTTAGCAAGCTCTTTTTATTTAATCCATTACAAACAGTTTGCAAGACCATTAGCTAGGCTTTGTCATACACATACATGACAGAGAGCACAGCATGCAAGAAAGAAAATGCATGAGAGTGTGAAATTTACATCGATATGTTCCAAAAAAAAATTCTAATACATGAAAAATCACTATTTAGAAAACAAACCCGAGCCAGATGTTTCATGTTAAAAAATCGTTTAATATTTTTTCGAGCCCTACTGGGCTCAGGCTGATCTAGTAGCACAACTCTAATTAGAAGCCATTAAATGTTGTGGAAAAGCAAGAAGTTATTAAATAATGCATACAGCCATGTGCAAAAGTTTGGGCACCACTGGTCAAATTAAATGTTTTGTGAAGAGCAAAGTTATTATAGTGTTGAAATGTTCATTAGTTTTTATTTTTTTATTTAGTTTTTCATTTTGGTTTTTGATTTCAGTTTAGTTACAATTATTCATTAATAGTTTTAGTTTTTATTTTCTCAAAAGTAATAATGTTTTAAGCATTATGATGAACGCTGTGATAGTAGATATTTGATAAGGGTAGAACTAAAGTAACTCTAGACTGAGCTTAGCTTGTTAGTTACAGCACAATTTATATTTTATATTTGTCCAATATGTTAAACTAAATGAAACAAAATGTTTAAAAAAAAAACCTGAAATTGTGCACTAAAATTAGCAGACAAAAACTATATTCATGTTTGTTCCCTGTAGAAGACGTGTTAACTTATTTTAACTTAGAAAGTTGACAAAACAAATAATTTGAACTGGGTGTTCAAACTTGCATACAATTATAATAGCTATACTGTAATCTTACAATACAAAAAATTTATAGTAATTTCATATGGAGGTATCTGCTTCAAAACTGATCACCACTTTTTAAATGCAAGACATTTAATTCAACTTCATTCTCAATTTCTCAATTATTATGAATTCATGACAGCTCTGTTCATCATTTTAACCCTTTTAAAAGGTCTTCATTTTTTACAGCTTCCAAACAATAATAGTACTGCAACTTTGTAATTGTATACATGTATCTATCAAACAAAATAGATTTTATATGACCGAATGCACTGGTTACAAACTTTTGAACAGTGATTCCAGTCTATTGAACTGTAGCGTATAAAGACGTTTCCTGGTATGCTGGTCTATTTTTAGTTGTGAACAAGACAAATTGGAGAAAAAGGCTAAATCTATTCAGCAGGTCTTTTGTGAATGGACAGATATTCTATTGTGCTCAGCCTTTAAAGACAGAATAAAGGACTGCAGAGGTCAGATATATTCATGTCTGTCCAATAGCAGTGCTGTCAGAGGGACATCGATAAGCAGCTCCCTGATGGCACAGCCCAGGATTGGTTTGAGACAGAGGTAGAAAAGAACAATGGTGGATTTGTGATAAGGAGTGAGTGAAAGAGGGTGACAAGCTGAGAAGTTATACATTTATTTAACGTTATCATGCAGTATTTTTTTTTTCCTTTTCCCCATCTGATCATAAATGGAACAGATAAAATGCATTCTTTTTAAAGTGGTATTGCACACAAGCGTTTATTTTTAAAACGTCCCACTGGGAATAGCTTCAGTGATTTGGCCTGCGAATGCTGCTCTGGGGCTGTTTTTGTGTACATTTTCATTCCACTGAATTGTTGCCTTGCAATTTTCTGCTCCTCTGCAGGACACTGAGTCAATCATACATCCGTTTTTTAATTTTCTGTTTGGCTATGCGCTCTCTTTGACAGTGAGGACGGCTCACATAAGCCAAACCAGCGCTGAGAATACAGAACAAGTCATTAAGCTGCAAAAGCGCATTTATATTGAAATTTATACCAGAGTGCAGAGTGTTCACTTCTTATTTTACCATTTTTTTGAAAAAAATTGATTGATCTGATGCAACCACTAGCAATTTAGGCATGCTAATGCCAAATCTCTAATCCAGTATGGACAAAAAACAAATATGAATAACACAAAACATTTTGAAATATGAACATATTTCGAAACATTTGGTGGAACAGGCCACGGTTGGAAACTGAAGGCAGAAAGAAATGCAGTTTATCAGTACGCAGGCAGTGAAGACAGTTTGTTGGAATGAAGCTTGTAGCGTGAGAACTGAGCAGAGTTGAGATGATGGACAATCAGCCGCAGCAGCAGCAGCAGTGTAGTGCAATCAACAGCACACAGATAACAAGCCTCTCCTCCCTACAGGAACACCCCGGTCCAGGCCTAATTGCCCAAGCCCTCTAAATCCTTCCAAGGGCATGTCAAACGCGTTGCTTCTTCTCATTTGAGGGTGAAGAAACAAAAAAAAACGTAGAGTTCTAGGGTTTAATACATATAACCTTCGTTACAAGAAAAAGACCCACCAGAAAGACGTGTCCGAAAAAAGTAGCAGTGCCATTCTTAAATTAACGAATCTAGCAGAATACTTGCAGTACTGGCCATCGGCTAGTCTACACCCTTTAAAATGGTGTTCTTCAGGGGTTCTTTAATAAAGGCAACAGTTATCCAGAACCATGATAACTCAAAGAACCATATAAATGCTTAGTTCTTTGAATGGTTAAATTGTTCTACTTATTGATGAAGAAGATGTTGTACGCAACTTTTTAAAAAGTTTGGAATGACCTTTTATTAATAATTGTTGTAATTTTAGTCACTAATAACTTACACAGTGTAACACCTTAAGCAAGACACCAGAATGTATTAGATGTCTAAGATTTTTTTGTTTATTATAACTTCAACTTCTCACTGTTCCACAGTGGACACATCCAACATTTCTCCATTTTTTACAGCTTCCTTGAAATAATCATTTAAAAGTCAGAGGTATATGGACGGATTTGGCAAGAGTTTTATGGACCACATTATACGTCTTTACATATTAACATCACACACACAGCCTCAAAAAGAAGGTCCAGTTTGATGTTTAGGTCTCAAATGCAAAATCACATTATACTGATGAAGATATGATGACAATAGTATATAATTCACTCACATCCTCAGAAGACGCATCCTTCACCAGGTTTTGACTGCATTCTCTCCGAATACTCTTTCAACGCATTCGCAAAAGTCAGATTTATTTGTTTGTGGGGGTGTGGAGCACAATCAACGTTCCAATATTTCTGCCACACATTGCATGCAATTACACACTTCCATCAGAGAGGTCCAAATCCCCAAATCCTACATAGTGTTGCTTTAAATACAGTTTTTAAATCTCAAGAATTTCCACTGACAGCTCTCTTGAAGTTATTTCCAGCTACTGCAATGCCATGTATTTATCCACAAAGTACATAGAGTTTGAAGCATGGTTAACAAGCAAAACACACCACTAATGCTGGCATGTCATTAACTCAGTGCACTGGACAGTGCTCACAGGAGATCTATGGATAAATCAATGAGCAGCAAACTAACAAAAGCGACAGCGAAAGTGGAAACCTCCAGCTATATCCTCGAAACAAGACATAAGTCTGAACATGAACCCACTGTTGCTCTCACTGGATATGTGTGATGAAAACTGGGAGCTGCATTCACACTATGGAAATCACATGATTTTCATGCTCATGCTCATGTGAACTCTGTATTCATACATTGAATGAAATGTGAGTAAACAAGACAAATATGATTGATCATGATTAACTACACTGAACAATGCAATAAAATGTGATTCAATACACTAACTGTGATTAATTACAATTAACTATTAATTCACAATTAAATACTTTAATCATTTGACAGCCCTAAATAGAATCATTTAATGCACATATCTTCCACAAACTGGGATTTTATCATTAAAAACAGTGATTCCAAGATGGTAGTGTTTACTGAACCTTTTACAAAATGGTATAGTACAGCTGCGAAAAGGGTTGCACCATTGATGGAGTCATTGCTTCTGAATACCCTTTTAGCTGAGAGTGCACGCACTGATGTATATTTTGAAGTATAGTTTCCACTGTCATCAGGAATAGGATGACTCAGACCACTCAGCTGTCTCTGCTACTATGTTTAAAAGGACATAAAAGAGTTCATATCTACAGCGTAATGAGGTCTGATTTACGCATCCAAAACAGATCTGGTGACAACGCATTTACAAAGTAAAGTCCTTCTAAAATTAGCCTACTGGATAAATTCAAACAGCTCAGTATAGTCTTCCAAACAGTCTTTTCCTCTCGCACTCGTTCTCTCTCTTTCACCAGATGAACACACAGAACACACCACTCACGAGCTCCCACATCATAGGCAGTACGAAACAGGAGATAGAGGCTATTTTTAACTCAATTTCACTGTTGCAAAAATGTAATCAATGTACCAAGAGATGCTCCACAGGTTCCCACTGCTTTATTCTTCAAAGTGAAAAACACTAGGAGAAGACTCTGCTTGAGCTCATGATTAGTTTCGATACAAAAAACAAACTTTTCAAGGCTGAAATAATGGAGAAACTTCAGAATACACTGTTTTCATATCTCTCAGAAAGCCATAACTGTTGAATTGTGCAGATATGCTGATTTTATGGAGA